TTTTTTTTTGTCTTTTCCTATTCTAATCTGTAGGCAAAACATATATGAAAAACTGAGCCAGACTCAGGGGCAGGAGTGAAAATTGGTAGAAGTACTATGAATAACTTAAGATGTGCAGACGACACCATCTTACTGGCAGAAAGTAGCAATGATTTGAAACAACTTCCAATGAAAACGAAAGAAGAAAGTGCCAAAGCAAGACTGTATTTGAACATCAAGACGAAAAACTGTAGAAGAAATACACAATTTTAACTTTGAAAGAAGACCCTGGAATTGTTAAAGAGTTGCTTATATTGGTTCAGTCATCAATTCAAATGGAGACTGTAGCCAAGAAATCAAGAGAAGACTGAGACTCAAAAGGGGAGAAATGGAAGAACTAGGAAAGATCACCAAGAGCACAATGTTTCATTAGAGACCACACCCTCGTATTCCCAATTACTATGTACGGATGTGAAAGTTGGACAGAAAAAAATTGATTCATTTGAAATACGGTGTTAGAGGAAAGCTCTAAAGGCCTGGACCAAAAGAAAGATGAACAAGTGGGTCCTAGAGCAAGTTAAGCCTGAAACATCGCTGGAAGAAAAAACGACAAAATTGAAGCTGTCCTACTCTGGGCACATCGGGAGAGGCAAGGTTCTCTGGCAAAGACAATACTGCTGGGCAGGAAAAGAGGAGACCAAATATGAGATGGACTGACTCTAAAAAGTCAGAGAAGTTAGTCTGTGGAGTTGAGCAGGGCTTGTTGAGGACAGGACATTGTGGACATCACTCATTCATAGGGTCACCAGGAATCAGAGCCAACTCAACAGCAGGTAACACATATCCACTTGTCTTTCTTATTTATTGTGGCTCTTCTAGAACTTAGCACAGAATGGTCAATCAATAAATATTAAGCAGTATAAGCATTCATAATTGAGGCTGTGTGTCAACTTTTTACTGAATGAAGTAGACAAATGAAAACTAAGGATTATTTCCCAGGAAAATGAACATAAATATATTTTTAAATACTTTTATATGATTTCTAAGGTATCTTGGTCCCCAGGTTAAGTCCTGCCCTAGGACCTCTGTTTCTAGTCATAAGAAGACTGCTAAGAGAAAGGAAGAGATCAGCGCAATGATCCTATTATTCCTTACCTTGTCTCTTCTCCACAAAAATCCTGTTCCTCCTTCTCCAGCACCCATAGTTAAATCACCACACCTTTCCCCAGGCTGACTTGGAATTTCCATCCACTCTGTAACTCCCATAGAGTTTAGGAATGCAGTCAAACGTTTCCTTCTCAAGGGTATATCATACACATCAGTTATTATAATCTCCCATACCATTATTATAATCTTAGTCATTTCCTGAAGCAGTCATACTATTTTCTCAATTTTTTAAAATCAACTTTTTAACTTAAATGTAGTGACATCCTAAGTAATAATATCTGTGAAATCACAGTTTTGATATCATGGCTATTATTTTCCTGCTCAAAATAACACACTTTAAAAAAAAAAGACTTTAGACGCTCACCAGCCACCAAGTTTGATTTTATTTTTTTAGATTTTTTTAAATATATTTTATTGATTTTTTACAGAGAGGAAAGGAGAGAGATAGAGAGTCAGAAACATCGATGAGAGAGAAACATCGATCAGCCGCCTCCTGCACATCTCCCACTGGGGATGTGCCCGCAACCCAGGTACATGCCCCTGACCGGAATCGAACCTGGGACCCTTCAGTCTGCAAGCCGACGCTCTATCCACTGAGCCAAACCGGCCTCGGCTTTTTTGAATTCTTTATCTGTTAAATTACAAAATTGCATGTTGTGTTTTTTTTGTTTTTTTTTTTTTTTTTTTTTTAGATTTTTAAAAATTGATTTTTACAGAGAGAGGACGGGAGAGGGAATGAGACAGAGAGAGAGAGAGAGAGAGAAACATCAATCGATTGCTTCCTGAACGTCCCCTATCACGGATTGAGCCCACAACCTGGGCATGTGCCCTGACTGGGAATCAAACTAGCAACTTTTGCATGCACGGGACAATGTCCAACCAACTGAGCCACACTAGCCAGGGCACCAGCTTCCAAGTTTCAGAGCACAATTTTAAGGTTTCTGCAGTTACTCCGGGATCTCTGATGGGTAAGTAATAATTTGGACATTTAGAGGGTTGTTGTTGTTTTTTAAAGCCAGGGGAAACTAAAAAACATTTGGCCCAATCCTCTCACCTTATAGATTAAAAAGTTGAAATCCAAAGCAGTACGTAATTTGTCCAAGGTCAGATAAGATGTTTAATAAAATGTCTAGGATTAGTATTCAGGTCTACTATCAGTCCAGTACACTTTCCACTACACTGTATCCATTCAGATTACACTAGAATAATACAGTATCCAGAATTCTTCATCTGTTACCTACCTCACTCTTCCATTCAGATTTATATGAATATGTTGCTTAAAATCTGGATATTTGGATGCCAGATATGCAAAGTCAGGAGGTTTGTCCTTGTATCTATTTCTTGCATGCATTGATTTACTCAGAGCCATCTTTAAAAAGAAAAAAAGGAAAAAACGAACATATTTAGTTTAAAAATATATTAATGGGGAAAACCTATGGTTGCCAAGTCAACAGTTACAGTCAACACATCCTTACCAATCAAGTGAGAAAGTAGAAGATATATTTTTTAAATGTATATAACAAATAAGAATATGAAAGATGCTCATCATGATCTGTCATTAGAGAAATGCAAATCAAAACCACAATAAGATACCACTTTACCCATTAGGATGGCTGGCAATTATTTAAAAATTTTTAGAAGAAAATAATAAATGTTGGAAAGGATATGAAAAAATTAGAGCCCTCATGTATTGCAGGTGGGAACATAAAACGGCACGCCAATTACTATGGAAAACAATTTGGTGGTTCTTTAAAAAGTTAAAAAACAGAACCACCATAAGATCCAGCATTTCCAACCCAAAGTATGCACAAAAAAACTAAAAGCAGGGACTTAAACATATATTTGTTTACCAATGTTCGTAGCATCATATTCACAACAGCCAAAAGGTGGAAACAACCCCAAATATCCATATACAGTGGGGCCTTGACTTACGAGTGTCCCGACTAACTAGTTTTTCCGAGATACCGTCTCTCGGCTGATTTTTTGCTTTGAGCTGACAGAGTAATTTGAGTGAATGAACTCCTTAACGAGCACCGTCACGGAACAAATTAAACTGGTAAGTCAAGGCCCCACTGTACAGATGAATAAACAGAATGTGGTATATGCATACAATGGAATATTATCTATATCTATATATATAAATGCCAAATGACTAAAACAACCAGAATGACTGGTCTCTATGATGCTCACTGCAGCCTGCCAACTGGCCAAATTGGGGCAGGGCTGGCCAGCCACCTCGCTTGACCCCTTCCCCCAGCAGCCCACCTCTCACATCTCCTCCCACAGGCAGCTGGCCTCAATTGGCCCCAATCGAGGTGGGGCAGCCAGATACCATCCATGCACGAATCTGTGCACTGGGCCTCTAGTCCAATAAATAAAAACACCCATCAGTCGGCTCTCGGGAAAGAATTGAAGAAGCTATTCCAGAAAAGACGGGACCAAGAGATGGAGGCTGGTGATTAGCCTGTTTTTCAGTTGTCCAGTTCAAGTGACTATAGACCCAGGAGTGAAGCCACGTAAAGATGAACTTGATTCCAGGCTCAGAAGTGTATGCACGGATGCGGCTCTCTCTTGCATCTGTGATCTCCCCTCGCGATTGCTCTCTTCTTAGGCCTCTCGACCAGTAGACTGTTTGACTGGTCGCTATAACGCGTACTGACCACCAGGGGGCAGACCCTCAATGCAGGAGCTGCCCCCTGGTGGTCAGCGCATTCCCACAGTGAGGGCTGCTCAGCTGACTGACTGACTGGTGCCAATGCTGGGCTCACAGCTGGCGAGTGCTGGGAGCCTCTCCTGCCTCTGGCAGCGCTACCAAGTAGCGGAGGCAGGGTCTGCAGGGCCAGGATGAGAGTGAGCAGCCCAGCACCAGGTCTGGGTTCCTCCCCAGCCGCCTGCCGCTTCACACACTACTTTATCCCTTGGGGAATGTTGGACTACCGGTATCAGCCGGATCCCAGCAGTCCATCCCCCGAAGGGTCCTGGAATGCAAGAGGGCACAGAGCAGGTTAAGGGACCCCACCAGTGCATGAATCCATGCATAACCATAAAAAAGAATGAAATTCTGATACATGCTAAGCATGGACAAATTTTAAAAACAAGGGAAACAAGCCACATCCAAAAGGGGTATTGTATTATGTTAAATATTATATTATCCCATTTATATGAGGTACCAAGATTAGGAAAATTCATACAGGTAGAGTAGAATAGATGTTTCTGTGGGTTTGGGAGAGGGAGAAATGATGAGTCATTCTTTAATGGGTACGCGGTTTCTGTTTAGGATTAAAAACTTCTAGAAATGCATAGTGTTGATGGTCACACAACACTGAAAATATTTAACGTCACTGAATAGTATACTTAAAAGTGGTTAAAATCATAAATTTTGTTATATATATTTTGTCACAATAATATACACAGCATATGATGAATCTTATTTTTTTAACCAAGGAAAGAAAATTGGAAATTATGCCTTTAAAAATATCAAAGCAGCAGAAAGTACTATAATCTACAGCCAAGAATATTATAATCAGAGGTTAGTTTTACAGTAGCCTTGCATGGACTGATAATTTGTAGTGTACCAAAAATCACTTAAGTTTCAAAAATTATCTTCTATTCCAACTTCCTTTATAAATGTCAGCCTTGTTACTCCTAGGTAGCTAAAACCAAATGAAAACAAACATAATTTGTCTTCTACCAGATTATAAAGAAGAAAAAAGTGAATGTATTTATAGCAATAAATTAAAACTAGAAGAAAAGCCAGTGGTTTAGTAAATCTCTAAGTAGTTGGTAATTTAAAAAATATTTTAGAATACTACATATCTCTGCATGGTAGGTTTTTCTCTTTTTCTTTATACCATTCTGCATTTTCCTCTCTTTTTTATAATGAGCATTCATCTAAACAATATTATGTAAGCCAGAAACCTAGAAGTCACCTGATAGCTCTCTATTCCTTTCATATTCCAAGAAATAATAGTTATGTGGATTTAATCTACTAAAAATCTCCCAAATCCATCAATTTTTCCCTGTTTCCATCAATATAAACCAAATAGAAGTTGCCTAGATTGCTATAGCAGTCTCTTAATTGGCCTCCCTGACTCCACTTTTATTCTCTCCATTCTTTTTTCCACTTTGCAGTGATCATTTCTAAACACAAATCTCATTACATCCTACTCATATGCCCACTTGCTCAAAACCTTACTCTTAGGATAAAAACAAAAAACCTTACTTCAGCATACAAATTAGGTCCAGCCTGGTGTGGATTCACCTATTTCTTCACTATCAGCTTAAGTCTCTCTCTCACACACACACCCCTAGGCTCATTCTTCTATTCCTCCACTCTGGCAATAGGATCTTGACACAGATTACGCCTTTTGTCTATGAGATCGATTTCAACCTTTTTCATCTCATGGCACTTAAACTAATTACTAAAATTCTGCGGTACACCAAAAAACCTACTACATTTTTTACTGATATGACAAAAATTTATTTATGTATTTATTCACAGAGGACAGCTATTGCTGTGTTGGCTGTTGCCTTTTTTTTTTAAACCTAAATAGTCAGGTATTACATGTTTTAAAAATTCTCGCCGAAACCGGTTTGGCTCAGTGGATAGAGCATCGGCCTGCGGACTGAAAGGGCCCAGGTTCGATACCGGTGAAGGGCATGTACCTGGGTTGCGGGCACATCCCCAGTAGGAGATGTGCAGGAGGCAGCTGATCGATGTTTCTCTCTCATCGATGTTTCTAACTCTCTATCTCTTTCTCTCTTCCTCTCTGTAAAAAATCAATAAAATATATTAAAAAAAAATTCTCGCGGCACATCAATTAAAAATTGCTGATCTGTAATGTCTCCCCCCGCATCTCCTCCCACCCCACCTCACCTGATGAATTCCTACTCATCCTTACTATCATACTTCAAGCATCTCTTCTTCAGGAATGTCTTTCCTTCCTTGATCTCCCGGTTAAGCCATATCCCCTAGCAACAAGCACCTTTTCTTTGCAAGCTTTGTTTGAGATGTAATTTTACATAGTCGTAAATCTGTTCACTCTATTTCAGAAATGTTTTCTGACAGCTTTCTACACTGCAAATTTAACAACCATTTTCAAAAAAGAACTGTCTTCACCCCAGACCTTTCCAAATCATATATCCAACTGCCCGCTAGATTTCTCATTTGAATGGTTCAAAAGTATTTCATGCACAACATGTCCAAAGTTAAATAACTTCTACCCACCCCGAAATGGTCCTCATCTGACCTTCCCTATTTCACTGAATGACACCACTATCTTTCTTCTGGTGCACAATCCAGAAACCTTTAGTATCTTCTCCACCCCACCTCCCCAATTCCAAACACACCATGTCCTGAATATTCTCTATCTCCTAATTATTTCTTGATAAATTTTCACCCTTCACAACTACACATTACTAACCCAGGTCATTATCATCTTTCTTGGATTACGGTAACTGATCTCTCTATAACCGATCTTGCCCCTGCAATCCACTTTTCACATAGCAGACAAGTCTTCTCTATCCCATCCCACACAAATCTGAATATTCTTTGCTAAATCCCCTCAGTGGCTTCCTAAAGCTATTAGGCTGATAAAGTCCAAAATTATTAACAAGGTATTCAGTGATGGCGAACCTATGACACGCGTGTCAAAGGTGACACACGAACTCATTTTTTTGGTTGATATTTCTTTGTTAAATGGCCTTTAAATATATAAAATAAATATCAAAAATATAAATCTTTGTTTTACTATGGGTGCAAATATCAAAAAATTTCTATATGTGACATGGCACCAGAGTTAAGTTAGGGTTTTTCAAAATGCTGACATGCCGAGCTCAAACGGTTCGCCATCACTGGTATAGATCATATAGGCCAGTGGTTCTCAACCTTCTGGCCCTTTAAATACAGTTCCTCATGTTGTGACCCAACCATAAAATTATTTTCGTTGCTACTTCATAAATGTAATGTTGTTACTGTTATGAATCGTCATGTAAATATCTGATATGCAGGATGGTCTTAGGCGACCCCTGTGAAGGGGTTGTTTGACCGCCAAAGGGGTTGCGACCCACAGGTTGAGAACCGCTGATCTAGGCCTTGCCTATCCCTCCAGCCTCATTTGTTGCCACTTCCCCCTTCCATCACTGTGCTCCAGACATACTGGCTTTTTCATTTTCCTTCATTCACTCTGACATTTTAAAGGTATGTTATCCTAAATGCGTAAGACCAATGGACAGGGCTCACTGAAGATAAAGACTGACCTTTGCAAAGAGAGCTACAGGCCTGGGATGTAACTATCCACTATGACCTGGCCAATTGGGATTTATTATGATCAGACCATGGTGTGTGGTTATTTTGGTGACTGAGCTTATCAGGCCTGCCATGTGGCCCCCATGAGCCTATCAGGTTTATTGCATAGACCCTTTTTCGTTCACATATGGCAGATTCAATTCATTTCCTCCCTTACTCAACCTTTTTGATCAGAACACAATGAGTCAATAAAGCCACTTCTTTGCGAATCAAGCTCCTCATACAGGCATCGGGTTCTCCGCTAAATCTACCATGTTCCTCAACTTAGTTCAGTGCCACCTCTCACCTGCCATCAGCATGGTCACCTCCTTCTCTCTAAGCCTAACCTAATCTACTTTCCCCTTCCTGGCTCTTCCTGCCCTTAGCTACAAGGGCCTCCTTGCTGTTTATCAATTCTGGTGTACTCCTGCCTCAGGGCTTTCGTGTTTGTATGGTCCGCGTGGACTTCTCTCCGACCAGAAACACATCCATGCAAGATGCCCTGGCCTTGTTCAGGTCTCTGAATCAGCAGTCACCTCACTGATGCCTTTCCTACTATCTTAAAAACTGCAGTAGTGAACGCACTCTTGTTTTCCCTCCTTGCTTCGAACTTCTACATAGAACTTACCCATTTGGCATTCCATACATTTCACTTTTTTTCCTTTTTTTTTTTTTTTAAATCTGCCATGCCAGTGAGCTTCATGGGGGAAAATCTTCCGTCTGTCTTGTTCACGCGATTTCCCAGCACCAAACTAGGCAGTCCGGTCCTGGGAGAGTAAGTAAGCACTCGGTACTCGCTGACTGAAAACCTGGTGTGTGACTCTTCTCACGGAAACACAGCACCTCATTCGGGTGAAGAGTCGCCCAACTTGACTCCCAAAGAGGCTCAGTCCTAAGGTTGGGGCTTTTTCTTCCGGGCTGACCGAGTCGGTCGTTAAAAAAAAAACCCAAAGCAGTCGAACCCTGACGCTACTTGCTCCCTTGGTTGCCCTGGAGCCTTAAATAATCTTCTTCCACTACCACGCACCTTAACGCAATCTAGATGTCGCTTTCAGAATTTCGAATCCCTTCTTAACAAATTCCTCCCACGTCAGCCCCAATCTCCCTTTTTCTTCGTTGCCTTACTTCATAAACCCGACTTTTCCTTCCAAGACCCGCCACGGCCCGTTCTCCATCTCTCTCACTGCTCCCCACCTTCATCTTAGCCACTCAGTTTGCCTTCCCGCCTCCGTTTCCGATCTCTCCGAACCTCCTCAGCCCCGGGGCCTTCCCTACTTCAGTCGTGGTCTCCATTCTATTAGTCAACTCCTCACCCCCCACACACCCCAACCCCTATCGGGTCTCTCTCCCTAGACCCCCGAAGTCCAGCACCCGAGAATGAGGAACCTGGGTGATCCATGGGCCAAGTGAACTCGTCACCATCGTGAAAGACAGTAAGTGACTTACCTCTGCGGGCCACGTTCCAGCCAAACCACCAATCTGGAGCGGGCCTCTAACCCCTAGTCTCAAACCATATGCAGCGCGAAGCTCCTAGAAACGCAGATGTTACGCTCCCAGCGCGCCGCCATCTTGGGCAGCCATCCAGCCTCGCGATTGGACGATGAACACCTCGCGCGATCTGTAGTAGATTCTGAGGAAAGAATAAACTGTCGCGAGACTTGGAGTTAGCGGCGCCTTCTGACAAAAAAAAAGGCGGGGCGGGGCGGGGCGGGGGGGAGGCGTGGTAGCAAGCTGAGTCCTTGGTGGAGGTATCTGCATTAGAATCTGCTAGGTAACTTTTGACAAATGTAGATTTTTTTTTTAAAATTGCTTTCTGGACCTCACTCCAGACTTACTAAACCATAGTCTCGGGGACTGGTCAGGAAATATGGGGATGGAAGTGGGGCGGGGGAGACGGCTTTTAGATTTGGTGGCTGGCAATTAGCGTTGGTTGTGCAACAGGTTTCTCTACTGGGATGTCTCATTTAAACATCACAGATAAACTGTGAGGTGGAAAGAGTAGCTGGGGATCGTTTGCTCAAGGTCTTACACCCAGATGACATCAAGTCCACGTTCTTTGTGTATCTTTACCTGTCTCGAGCTGGAAGCACTATGAAATGCATTTCATTTCTCTTTTCAACGCGGTTGTACTAATTTTTACCCTCTGGTAAGTAGAGTGAGCATTAGTTTACCCATTTTACAATAGACGTAAAAAGGTCTATTACCTGCCCAGGTCGCGGTTCCTGGTCCGGGCACATGTCTAAGTTGCAGTTGGATCCCAGGTCAGGCAGCCCATCCATGTTTCTCTCTCAAACTGATGCTTTTCTTTTTCTCTCCCTCTCCCTTCCTGTTTCTGTTAAATCAATGAAAGCATATCCCAGGATGAGGATGAAAAGAAAAAGAATGGAAGAAATTTCCTGAAGCTGAGAAAGATACAAGTCTTCAAATTAAAAGAGTTCACTGTGTACCAAACTGAATGAATTTTAAAAGACCAAATCAAGTTTTTAGAGCCGTCCCCAGTACAGTATGACTGGTGTTTTTATAAGGAGAGGAGATTAGGTCGCAGACAATGCAGAGGGGTAGCCAAGAAAGGACACAGCAAGAAGATGCCCATCTGGAGCCAAGGAGAGACCTCAGGAGAAACCAAACCTGCTGATGCCTGGATCTTGGCCTTCCAAGCCTCCAGAATTGTGAGAAAAGAAATCTCTGTTGTTTAAGCTACCTAGTCTGTGGTAGTTTGTTGTGGAAGCCCTAGCAAACTTAAACCTCTTTGGTTATGTGTATTCAAAAGTATTTTATTTTTTTTCATGCTATTGTAAATGGAGCTGATTTTTGTGTATTGATTTTGCATCCTGCAACGTTGCGGAATCTGTTTATTCTACCTCTTTTCGTTGGAATCCTTGAGGTTTTCTACATATAAGATCATGTCATCTGTGAACAGGGGTAATTTTACGTCTTCCTTTCCAATTTTGATGCTTTTTCTTTCTTTTCCTTGCCTAATTGATCTGGCTAGAACTTCCAGTACTATGTTGAACAGAAGTGGCATAAGCGGGCATTCTTGTCTTATTGCTGCTCATCTTAAAGGAAAAGCTTTTGGTCTTTCACCATTGAGTATGCCATTAGCTGGGGCTTTTCATTTCTGTATAGCCTTTATTATCTTGAGGTAGTTTCCTTCTGTTCCTAGTTTGTTGAGTGTTTTTATCAAAAAGTGGTGCTAAACTTTGTCAAATGCTTTGTCTACATTTGGTTTTTTCCCCTTCATTCGGTTTATGTGGTATATTAATTGATTTTCATATATTAAACTTTCCTTGCATTCCAAGAGTAGACCCACTTGGTTATAGTGTATTTTAATATGCTGTTGAATTTGGTTTGCTAGTATTTTGTTGAGGATTTTGCATTAATATTAATAAGGGATATTGGTATAGATTTCTTTTTTTGTAGTATCATTGTCTGATTTTTGTTTCAGGGTAATCTAGAGTGAGTGTGAAAGTGTTCCTTCCTCTTCAATTTTTTGGGAAGAGTATGAAGAGGATTGGTGTTCATTCTTTAAATATTCACTATCGTTATATCTAATCTGTCTGGAATCTAGTGAGGTATGGACCTTTTCTAAATGGCTAGCTGAATGTTTCACTACCATTAAGATGTTTTTATTATAGGGAAAAAAACACATAACAAAGTTTACTGTCTTAACCATTTTTAAAATAAATTTTTTTTATTGATTTCAGAAAGGAAGAGAGAGATTGAATCAATGATGAGAGAGAATCATTGATTGGCTGCCTCCTGCACACTCCACACTGGGGATTGAGCCAGCAACCCAGGCATATGCCCTTACCAGGAATCGAACTGTGACCTCCTGGTTCATAGGTCGATACTCAACCACTGAGCCATGCTGGCCAGGTGTCTTAACCATTTTTAACTGTACAGTTCAGTAGTGTTAATTTGAACATTGTTGTGAAACAGATCTCCAGAACTTTCAACTTGCAAAATTAAAACTCTATATCCATTAAACAACAATTCCCCTTGTCTCTCTCCCCCTAGGCCCTGGTAACCACAATTCCACTTTGTGTTTCTATGAATTTGACCATTTTAGATAGCTTATATAAGTGGAATCATACAGCAGTTACCTTTTTGTGACTGGCCTATTTCATTTGAACACCATTTTTAACCCATCAATTTGAATTGTCTTCTTAGTAATTTATATGGTGCCCATATATGCTTGGGTTTATTTCTAGGCTTGTTTCATTGATCTTTCTGCCTATTTCTATACATGTACACATTTGTTTTAATTACCATAGATTTTTTTGTTTTTGTTTTTTGTTCATCTTCACCTGAGGATATTTTTCCATTGATCTTTTAGAGAGAGTGGAAGAGAGAGGGAAAGACAGAAACATCGATGTGAGAGAACCACATCCATTGGTTGCCTCCTGCACATGCCCCAACCAGACCCTGGGCCGGGGAGGAGCCTGCAACCGTGGTACCTGCCCTTGACCGGAATCAAACCCGAAACCCTTTGGTCTGCAAGCCATCGCCCTATCCACTGAGCCAAACCGGCTAGGGCACCGTAGCTTTTTATTGTCTAACTCTTCTCACAAGTTTATGCTTCCAAATAAACTCAGGCACCATTTTACTAAGTTTTCTACAAAAATCCTTTTGAGATGTTTTATTGTTATTACATTAAATATAAAGATCAATTCTGAGAGAATCGGCATCTCTACAATATTGACTCTTCCCATTTATATTTAATATGACTTCACCCTAGCATACAAGACCATTCAGAACAGAGTCCTACTCTTTTCTTGCCATGTTTAGCCACCCTCCAGCCAAACTCACTGTGATCTGGTCCCTGAACCTTCTTTGTGTTCTCTCTCTCTCTCTCTCTCTTCTTGCCTCCCCCTCCCTCTCTCTCTCCTCAAGCTGCCCCTCTTCTCCATCCCACTGTTTCAACTGTCTACAACCTATACATACTTTATGTTCCATCACAAATTGCCACTTCACCCATACTTCCTGAGTCCTCCATCCAGATGTGACTTCTCCCTCCTTTGAAACTCCATAGTACTTGGTTTGTCATTTTATTAAGGTGCTCACCCCAATTTGTTCTTTGTTGTTATTTGTATGCATCTCTTGTTGGTCCGCAATCAGCAATTTTGCATTAGAACAACAGGTCTCAACAATTTTGGATTAGAACAGGTTGACGTTCAACTACTGCGGCCACTGCGGTTGGGCATCAATCATTCCTTTTTATGGCTGAATAATATTTCACTATAGGATATATAAACCACATTTTACTTATCCATTCATCAGTTGATGGAATTTGGTTTGTTTCCAGTTTTTGGCTATTGTGAACTATTCGTGTATATGTTTTTGTTTGAACACTTGTTTCCAATTCTCTCGAATATATTCATAACAGTGGAATTGCCAGGTCATATGGTAACACTATGTTTAACTTTTTAAATTAATGACTGCATCAGTTTACATTCCATCAGCAGGGTATGTGTGTTCCAACTATTATTATAAAAATAATGAGTGTGCATAGCTTAAAAACACACTGCTACAAGGCTTATGGCAAAATACAAGTCTTTTAGCCATACCTCTTTCCCATTCCCCAGAGGCAATTGCTTTCAATTCCTTTAACTTTTTCTCTTGTTTTTAACCATATTTCTAAATACTATGCATATGCTCCAATTTCATTTGATCAATTCTAGGCATTACATTATGCTGACTTCAGTACTCTAATTATGTTTTCTTTCTTGAACAACTGTTTGGTTTCCCTGAAATTATCATTTGTCATATTTTTACTTGCTTAGTTTTCTGTGTGCTTCTCTCTATTTCTACTTTTTCCCAAATGTTCCAAACACCGCTCTGATTCTAGACACTTTGTATTTGGCCTGTTTTTCCTGTTTTCTCTTTGGAAGTGCTTACGATCTTCTTTTTATTCCTGGTGTTCTGGAATTTAATGACAAACATCTGCTTCTTTTTTTTTTTTTTCGTTTGTTGTGCTAGCCTTTTGGTGAGCT